GCATTAGAACGATCAAGTGTTCTGGGATTCCCATTCTTCTCAGAGTCAGCCATAGATACCATAAATGAATGACTTTAATGAACAGAAATTCATTTTTCACAGTCTCTCTCTCATCAAGTTAGAATTGACTCATAGCTGACCCTCATTTGAGTTTCTGAGGCTACAAATAGTAGGAGAAGAGAGTGTCCGTCTTTCTCCCAAGGAGTCACTGGTGGATCTAAAGCACCAGAGAGGTGCAGCCTCTGGGTTCATAGGGCAACTCCCTACAACCTATGCCACCAGGGCTCCCTTTGGCAAGAAGAAATTAAATTGATAATATAGGACTCTTATGAAAAGTTATACTCCAACACTTTGAACTCTAGAGGAAATGGACAAATTCCTTGAAACTCACACCCTACCCAAATTGACACAGACAGAAATTAAACACTTGAACAGACCTATCACAAAAGAAGAAATTGAGCCATTCATAAAAAGACACACCCTCCTCAAAAAAAAAAATATCCTGGCCCAGATGACTTGACAGGTGAATTCTACAAGTATTTGGAGCTAAGTTATCACAAATTTTATTTTTAAAAAATAGAAAAGGAAGAACATTCCCAGAATCATTCTATGATGCAAGCATAATAACTCTAATACCAAAAGCAGGCAAAGATTTGCTTCACCAAGAAAGAAAACTATAGTGAATAACTCTCATGAATGTAGATACAAAAATCCTTAACAAAATTCTGGCCAATAGAATTCAACAGTAGATAAAAATAGTTAATCATAACCAAATAGGATTTCTAGGAGGAATGCAGAAATGCTTCAACATGAAAAAAACTTAATGTAATTTATCACATCAGCAAAGAACAAGAGCCACATGATCAATTGATGCAGAAAAAGCCTTGGAAAAAAATCAACACCTCTTCCTAATTAAAACAATCAGCAGAATAGGAATAGAGGGAAATCTCCTCAACGTAGTGAAAGTATGTATGCAAAACCAAGAGTCAACATCAACATCATTCTCAACAGAAAGAAACTAAAAACATTCCCTTTGCAAACAGGAACCAAGCAAGAGTGCTCACATTGCCTTACTCATATTCAATACTGTAGTGGAAGTCTTAGCCAGGTTAATAAGGCAAGAGAAGGAAACAAGAAACAACCAAATTGGCAAGGCGTGTAAAACTGTCATTATATGCGCATAGTGTACATAATAGTGTACACAGAAAATCCCAGATTCAACAAAAACCTAT